TCTGCAGCCACGCTGGATAGTGTTCTTTGACCCTTTTTGACAAGATGCGCGTTGAACGACCGATGTACCTGGCTCCACAGCAACAGGTGAACTGATATATACACATAAAAGTGGTCATGTGCCGAATCTTGTCCTTTGGGTTTCTGAAGATCAGCGGGCGACTGGAGAACACTACTCTTAATGTTGTCGCAGGGAAAATTCTTCCTAAAGAGATGGAAATTCTCCTTTTGTGGACGTCACTGTTAATTGTTAACTATTTCATTGTGTGAAATTTAATAGCATAGCATTTAACTTTGTAAAAAATAACTGTTACTATTACTACTCTCACTTTGAACTGTCCCCGGTATTATTTCACTTGTTCCACTTGTCATTCTAAATCAATTCTGTTTTACAACGTTAAATTCTATGCTATTAAATTTCACACAATATTACTTAACGTCTTTATTTTATTCGATTTGTCTACTAATCCTATAATTGCACTCCCTTTTTCAAGTTCTATCCATCCTATGAACTATTTCATTATTTGCTATTAAAGTTTAACTCGCTTGACGTGTTACCAATCTATTAGATGTACAATAATTATTTTCTTGTAGTAGGACATTATATGCTGTAGATTCTATGTTCCTGTACCCATTACTGTTAAAATATTGTTTATCCCTATCCCTTCATTCTGTGTCTGACATTCACACGGCGTTTAAATAACAGGTGGATCGCCTTTAACACAGCTCTGTGGAATTTGCCTTCGACGCACATTGACTGTGTATTTTGATGGCATTCCGTCACAGACAACTCATAAGTAAATTTTGTACATTATATTTATTATTTTATGTTAAATTAATTACACATTGCTGTATAATTCACATGTTAGCCAATAGCATACTCACAATAAATGGCTTCCTACCTCATTTCGCTTAATAGATTTGAAAACAACAACATACAACATCCCTCATTTTCAAGTGTAAGACGAACATTAGTGTGAGAATGGGCAGCACGAGTATTACCAACAACAATTAGGGTGAACTAGGCCATCATCAACTTCAGTCGTGTTATTAATATTTGATTGAATGTTAATCTGAGGAAACTTGCACACACATGGGAGAACGGTGATGATTTTAATACACTCCTGTGTGTATACATACGACGAATAACTTGAGAAGGTCTAATTAAACATAGGATCAATGAGTTCATCACTTTAGCTGTCATACATATCGAATAAGTAGAGCTTCTCATCTATACAACCTAACTTTCATGCATTATACACCTCAAAGTTAACGGAGGACAAGCTCATTTCCTCCTCTATGATACATCGATATTCAGTGAGCCAAGACAGAAGAAGCGAAAATATTCCCGCTGATGCACTTGAAAATTAGTAATGCAATAATCACAAGTACTTTAGATCACTTTCTTCGTATAATTTTTTATATCCGCTTATGAGAAATCATTCACTCCATGCACACTGTTCTTGCTTGCAGTAGTCTTTCTTTCTGTCATTCAGAGAAATATTCTCTGATATGTGGAAGACCGATATCAAGCGAAGTATCTACAGACCTTTTTATATGGAGAACAATTCACTTGTATCCAACTGAACTCCATTCGAATTTTCTGATATTTATGAACGACTCAACCTCATCGTGTTTTCTGAGTCAATAGTTTTGAAGATGATTCGAGGCTCAGATAAACGGGGGAGGGTTGATAGTGGGTTTAGCGACCTTGCCACAGAAAGTCAATCCGATAGCTACAAAAGCTTCAATGCACAGAAGAAGCATATATTTTGACTCAATCTCTGCCATAATAGGACTGAAGGAATGAACAAGCTGTTGAACGCCTCACGATGTGAAACAGTCGATTTGTCTACTTCGGTAAAAGCAAAACTAAGCATTTGGACATGGAATTCGCAAAGCTGTGAAGGCTGTTCAGAATGCAAGTGAAATCAAATGGTTTTTAAAGAAATGCTAAGAATCTGTGAGGGGAGATGAAACGGAAGTGGACTAGGTCAGTTGTTAACGAAGGCCTTAGTGTGGTTCGGTCACCCAAATGGCAACACGTGATGATGTGGCCATCACTATGTCACTGGAAACTTCGAAGACTCTCATGTAGTGAGAACCGATCGTCAACCAACCAGAATAGGTACGACAAAATCTAGTTGGAAAAGAATGAATGAGAGAAGGTTACAATTATCTAGTGCAAAGCTACTGCAAAAAACGCGGATCAATAGAAGAAGGGAGAAATCTACAGACAACTGCAAACATGAATGGACGAAGTCTGTCGGAGATGGCAGCACCGAAATCACAACAAGCGATATGAATGCAAGCGAGACTGGAAACAAAGCACGCAGTGGGAGAACCCATCATATGTCGAAGGGGTGTTGGTGAAAGTAAGGAGAAGGATGAACTGCTCACAGACTTCTGAACCCTCAATAACTCAGCCGTTGGTGACAGTGTGTACTGGCACACATGCAATAATACACATTTGTTCACAGAGGAATTAGTTTCACAAGACGAACACACCTAGAATCGGATAGACTTCATCTGAATTTTAGGAATATGGAGACAGTCTGCTGGACAAAAAAGTGGGCAAGAGGATCAGATGTGTGTTTGGATCAATCTCTGACGCATGGAGGCTGTAAAGTGAGGGTGAAAGCCTACAAAGCACCTGGAGACACACCACAATTCAATGTCAGTACAAAATACACTGGAGGAAAATCTGTGATCAGCGCTTTTAATGCTGCCACCAAGTAGATGTCGGAGACGAGTAGCATCACTGTGGAAACCTGAAAGTAACCAGAGAAACACATCCAGGTAGATTAAATCTGCGTATCAGTATACGTAATTAAATACGATAAATTCCATTCAGCTGAGAAATGTTCAGAGGAATGATTGGCTGCAGAAAGCATATCTCATTCATTTATGTACACACTAAATACATTATTCTTAATAAGAGACAAAGCGGTTCCTCATTCCATTCTTGTATTTCTTTCTCTCGTATATGTGGATTTTTGTAAGATTTCATCCAGTTGTTGAATTCGGTAGGTAGTCATTTCCACACGAAGTACTTCTACGAATTGTCTTCACTTTAGATGAATACATTAAACTGAGCATCATCAAAATACAATATTCCAAATCTTACAGACCATGTCATTCATTCCTAAGGACAATAAGCTGATTTCTGTTCACTAAGTATTCAATCTCATCAAATATTTTTCACGCTTACATCTCATCACAATATTCCGAATATCAGGTACGAATCTCGGAGAATCCACATTCATCCTGATACACATCACACATCTCCATTGCAAAACTATCTGTAAAATGCACAGAAGAGAGAATTGTGTGAAGAATTGTGATTATACGGGTGAAACAGACAAAATCACTGGAAACACTCTCATAGTTGAATCACGTGTTATCGGCTTTCCCTAACAGTTATGGAACCAAGAACAAGCAGAAATATGCACTTTGAGTGGCACGTGTTCATTTGAAGTAGTTCATCAGTAATGTGGGAATTGCACCCCAATACAGAATTTCACACATTGAAATATTTTCCTGTGAAGCAATTCTGAAAGTAAGAGAAACAAGAAGGAGCCGAAAAGAGTGAATCCGTAACACGACACACCACACCACTACATACCGATATTGCTCTTTTTAAACACAAACTGAAATTATCAAAGTATCAGTGATGAGAATACATCGGTGACTGAGACACCTGAATAACAACAATTAATCACAGGAAAACCTAATTTATCAAGGGAACCGTAATTTATGAAAAATCTCACACATTTAGAGTAGAGTCGCATTATGAAAATTAAAAGATAGCAATTTTTGTTATCATGTGAACTGTGTCTAATATGGTACAGAGTACACAACTGTTTACTGTAGGAGACGTGTAGGAGACTCAGACAACCACAACAATCACACATTGTACACTGATGAAATGAAAATCCAGCCAGCCAGCCAGCCAGCCAATCGAAAAAGCGAAACACGATTATGAAAAGACGTGAAAGCAGAAAGCATATTCTGTGTTTCATTCAATTCAGGCTACAGTTTCACCAATCACATCAGCTGACAACCCACACACACATACAGTCACACTCACACTGGATTGCACAACACATTTTACAGCACAAAACAGCCTATCACACCCTCATGCACACAGAAATAAAAACACTCACACGAAAACTCAGGCACAACTGATTACTGGTTTTCATAATAAACGCCCAACACAATTTCTTCATTTCACATGTTTTTAGCATACGTGGATCGAGCTCCACACACACACACACACACACAATAACACAAACACAATCACGTCTGATCCGAATAAGATAAAAGGAGCACTCGAATTCCACTCACTTCATTCATATCCAGGTGAACCAGTGACGACTACAACGCCGATCCCCAAAACACTACAACTCAATTGACTCGCCTCAGACGAAATCATGAGTGGATCACGAGCTAGACAGAATTTCGCCAAGGAATGTGAAGATGCTCTGAACAAACAGATCAACATGGAACTGCAAGCTGCATACGACTACATGGCTTTCTTCACCTACTTCGATCGAGATGATGTCGCCTTCCCGAAAGCTTCTGAATTCTTCCGAAAGGCATCACATGAAGAACGTGAGCACGCTGAGAAATTGGCGAAGTATGTTAACAAGCGTGGTGGTCGTGTCCAGTACAGCGATATCAAGACTCCGTGTAAGACGGAGTTCAGTGGTCTGGTGGATGCGATGAATACGGCTCTGGCGATGGAGAAGGCAGTGAATGAGGTAAGTCACACGCACACTGACAAGTTCACACATGCACACACACACACCTGTATTTATATCTGGTTACCGATATTCTCGAATTCCTCGATATCTTGAATGGTCGGTGTACATAGCTTTTTAATATCTGCTCTGCTCCACACCTCACATTCTAGAGACAATAGTCACCTACTGTATGTCAAATAAATCGTTGAATCTTGATGCTTCACTTCATGCTCCTGGTGACTGAGAGAATTTCCAGGTGTGATGTAAGTGTGAGTTATTTAGATAGTAGTAGGTTTGTTTCCACCACGTCAGTCCGATAGGTGGCTGAATTCACTGTAGGTGTTAACACCATGTGTTATCAAGTTTCATCATTACATCTTCCCTCATGAAGTAACTACATGAAATTCCTGAATAAATCTCAGAGAATAAATCACTACACCTTGTGTAGTTTCCTTCATTCTTTTTCTGTGGGATGTTTAATTAGTGAGTGAGGCTGCTAACATCAGACCACCAAACCTGTCCTCATCCACCTCAATGTGGCAGGAGGTTTACAAATGCATCAGCCGACGATGAATCTCTGCAAAGTATTGCGAGATTGGCACTCACGCTACCACTGACCATCTCGAGGGGTTTCAATATCGGTGCATCTCCCTAAGGATTTCTGATGTCAACAGATAACTCAGTGTACATCTATCATTTCACTATATCGAAAATATTCATTCTGACATCAACAAATCACAAAATAATTGAGCAAGAATATCATTTTGAATAATTTCCTCTTCTGGCTGTTTAATTCTATGTATGTTTATATACATAAAATCTTCTAGAATAGTAGTCAATAAGAATTTTCAGAAGCCTAATTTGTTCATCAAGAAGAGGCTAGTTCAAACCTCCTCCATACCTTGGCCATCTAGGTTTGAATGAGCCTCAATTGTTGTGGAATTTTCCTACTTTTAGTTGATATAGTATTTGGTATTATATCATCATTATTATTCTTATAATTCAAGCATCTTTAATGACATGTAATTGCACTGATCTTCATTTAGGAATCGATATTGTTTAAAAAACAGCAATATTGATATTGACTACTATTCCAGAATATTCTATGTATATCATATTATATATATGTACACTTGTGGAGCCAGAAGAGAAAACCTTCGAGGAAGAGATTATTTGCTTAATTATTTTGTGATTTATAGATATCCATGATTTGATAATTTGACACACCGATACTAATCACTAATCATCACCATGACACTCATATCAACAAAACTCACAAGTCTCGATTTCACACACTCCCCACATATTTTCGTGCACACACATCGAAGGGAAGTAGAAAATCACAGTTATTTGAGAGAGCTAGTAATTCCCCATTTCCACTGATTAGTTAAATAATATCATTCGATAAAATGTATCACTGTCTAATTCATTCCCTGTCTGACTCTCTCTCTCTCTCTGTCTATCTTTGTTTTTCTCCCATCCTTAGTCACTGTTGAAACTCCATGATGTCGCTTCGAGGAACAACGATCCAGCACTCACTGACTTCATCGAGAGTGAATATCTGCACGAGCAAGAACAAGCCATCAAACAATTCGCCGACTATGTGACACAAACCAAGAGAGTTGGCAGTGGACTCGGTGAATATCTCTTCGACAAGCTGACATTGTCCGACTGAATTTCAAATCTCCTTCATCGCATAATCACATCACCCCCTCTTATTTTGATATTTGTTATTTTCCTTCATGCATTCATTCTGAAAATACATTTCATCTCACTACTCCTCTCGTCTTTCTCACTCGCTGATGACGTGTATATTCTCAGTGGTAGAATACTGGATGATGTGGTTCGCGTGTCGTCGATGTGCAGTGAGTGGAGTGATTGAGATTGTGATGTGTGCATGAAGTGGTCATGTGAACTGGCTATTTATAACAGTGACTGACTGTGGAATGAATTCCGAATTCGCTGGTGAGTTAGATGTGTAGTAGATGATCGTGTGAAGAGACGATGAGCATCTCTATTTCAGTAGTGGTGTCCATACTCCGAGTTGACTGGGTGTGTTCACTTGAGGTGAAACAGTGACGTGGATTTATGGATAGTGGTTGTCACGAGCGGTGCAGTGTGAATAGAGGCATGAACAATATCTTCTGGTATATTCGGACATCTCATGAGATGATATCTGATTTGATATCTATGAAGTGTACTAGTGGGTTTTATGTTGACAGAAATCCCTCACACCGAGTAAGAAATTCGAGGATGACGATGAGTTAGAATGGGACATGAAAAAAACCTCATCCAGTGAGCGATGTTTAGTAATAATTCAGTTGATGAAATGTTGTGAATTGTAAGTCGGCATTCAGCGTAGTGTCACTACTTTGAGCAATATCATTTTTATGCGGTGAAAATGGATATATAGATAAAATTCACAGTCATATACAAACAAGACTGTCTCTAATAGTGTTAATAGTGGAAGTTCTTTGTTAGATTTATTACTGAATATCGACAAGCCGCTTCTTCGAGTATTTATGAACTGGTTGTAATTGTAATGGTCTGCTGATTTGCAATGTCACAGATAGTCTTCGTATATTGTTTGTAGAGCATAACTGTGGCTTCAGCAATCATCGACCAAGGGATGACGATGAATATTCTAGATAATGCGAGGCCTTTATGACGAACAATACATATAAGCGAATATCATTATTTTCAATTAGATCTTCTTCAGGCTACACTCTAATTTACATAGATTTATATTTAGGAATGTAAACCAATGATGCTGAGTTTGTGGACCAAATAATACTAGTAATAATGATAGTTTGTAAAATCTTCTGAACACCAGAAATAACGATGATTATAATGATAACAAAATAGAAATATGTGTATATGTAGACAATTCAATGAATAAACGAATTAGTTCAAATCCTAAAAGCTACGTAGCACTAGAGGTGAGGTGGACGGATAATCAGAGTTTGAATAAATATCAGTAAAATACTTAGGAGATGGAATTATTTAATGGATGACGGGGGAGGTAATTAGACTGTAACTAGGCCAAGGGAGAGACACAGGTAGAACAAACTTCGTTTGTTTGCAAAGATTAGGATTGTTCTCTCGAATTAATTCTCAATGCTTCGGCAATGTGTAAAAGGCGGGTTCTAACGCTCTTCGAAATGCTCGATGGAATGTGATAGACAAATTTGAAGGCTTTTCTTCTGTCTACTTGGTGACCGCCATCAATCCAGTTAGTCAAAGTAGTATTTCTTATAGATTTTATTTGGCTTTTCCCGAAATATGAAGGAAGATGATTATTAATGCGTTCGGTCAACAGTCTAATTGTTCGCCCTACATAGCAGCCTCCACAGAATCAACTGAATTCGTAGATACACGTAGAAGTGGAACAACTCGGCAGTTTGTCTTCCATTTCAGCAATCGTGATTGGTCGGCTGGAAAATGACAAAGAAAGGGTGTCAGCAGTTTAACTCCATCTGATTCCTCTCGATAATCTTAGATGTGGGACTTCGCCCGCTTATATCTTCCGCGATAAATAATTTCTCTCTGAGTGACAGCTATCTATTGTAGTTGGCATATTAGATTGATCAATGCCTGAAGTGCAAAATTACTTTTGAGGAAATATTTGAATAGTCGTTTCTCTTTATATGATGCCAACAGATAGATTTCAAAGGCATTATTATACACAAACACATCTGAGTAGTGTATATTAGAGCATTTCATTGATAACGGCTGTCTGATTAAATCAGTGGGATAACCAAAATTTCTATTCTTCAAAATGATCCATTTCTTTTGCATTTCTTATTCTTTCATTCATGGAGATATATCATGGTATCAAATCATGAACTCGCTCACAAATTTACTCATCTTTCAGCAAAACTCTGTGCAATTTTTGAAGTAAACGAAGAATAAATATACAGAGCTGGTTATCTCTTTATATGCGACAACACCACGTCACATGATATACTTCGGATTATTACTCTACCATCCCGTGAATCACACTCTCTTTTGTAGACGTAATATTTTGGAACTAAATAGGATGAGAATCTCTGTACTATTTGTTCACATATTGTCTGAAATAGAGTCTTATCATCATTATCACTGACAGATATGGAATAAGTCTCAATGAAATAAACATCAGTTTGACAGGTTACTCTGAGTAGACACCTGAGCTGCATCTCTTCCCTGTTACTTCAGAGACACGAAATGTCTGTTGAGAAAGTAATTCTGATCCTCATCCTACTCCTCCTCTTCGTCGTCCACCTCATTCATGAATTGCTTTTAATTCATTCCTCCACTCTACACTGAATTGTACACAAAGAGGCCACGGAATACACACTTCCAAGTCATCATTCAGTGATTATTCAGTTAATGAAATGATTCCAGTAGTGTTCGTTCACCGACATTCTGTCGAAATCATTGACTCTGTTGTGTAGTTCGAGAAACATGTCATTCTGATATGCACTGCTACTTCATTCTCATTATATTGATGTGTTGATGTCTTCCTGGATAACGAAGTAGTTATCTGTTAAAGAGATCTGATGCCCACAGAAACCTATTCCTTGTCTTGAATCTTCTTCCTTCCTAAGACGGTTAAACAGCTTTCAATTCAGAATGATTTACAGAAAGTCCCAAATTGCCCCACACAGGATTTCTCTTTGGCGATATACAGTTTCTGAACGTTTCCTTGATGGCTTCAGTCAATGTGTCCTTCGAAGTTCCATCCTCCAGTTTGTAGATGTTGAATTTGAAGTATTATGTGTTTCCAGATTCTTTCAGAACTGTTAACTTCACTTTGATGGTTCATTGCACTAGATAGTGTTCTGAACCCATATCTGCTACTCTTCTAGATTTTATGTCCAGCTGGCTGAATCTCTGCTTCCTTGAGATGAAATCGAGTTTATCTGACTTTTGGTGTATCTATTTAGTAAAACCCGTGTCGTCTTCCCAGCTTCAATATTCATACTAACATTGAATTTTCACATGTGTATTTTTGTTTTCATGGAAATGAGACATATCGACTCGTGACATTGTGTCCATAGTATTCCAGTCAAGGATGAGTTTGTATTTTACACATATTTTCTGTGTTTCGAGGTTTCCGTATTGTTTAGATCGATTTCCTGGAGCAGATTCGTTAGCCACAAGCCTAGCCTCACGCGCGACATTCTCTCCTAACCAGGTTTACTACAGGCTAGGCGAGGTCTGAGAGTGCGTCGGTCAAGAAACGAACCTAGACAATGTGGATCGTTGGAGGGCATTCCACCACTCAGCCACTGATTCAAAATAACTAGTAAAATACTGTAATGCTTTATAATGACTACTAACACTTGGATTTTGAATTTCTAAAAATCTGGTTATGTTGTTTCCAAATCTTAGACTGTATTAAACAAAATTAAGTAAGTGGTTATTAGTCTACTGTCAAATAGCATGTGACTGATATAATATTAGTATACTACAATTTATACTTGTATGAGTAACACGTAGCTTTTATTTTCTGGTTTAATGTGCAACAAATTGATAAGGGTTGACGGGTTTATGATTATAACCGTATCGTTCACACACAATTAAATTATAAAATATCAACACAGCACGACAATTATATAAGTAGCTTGAATAAGAGTGGATTAAAATATCGGTGGAAGACAGTTGACAAAAGCACTATATGATTTCTATCTCTAACTGTCCCACACAAAACGAAACAGTCAAAACAAATCGAGTATTGTAGTCGTTGCAAATCATCTATCTGAGTGAAGTTATGCATGAATAGCAGTAAAGTATCCAAATACTCCTTATACTTTCAACACTGAAATTACCCATTCTAATCATAATGTACATAACTGAGTTTTACGCCATTCTATGCAACAGTCGTCGATATAACTGACGAGTTGTGTTAAGTATTCGAATATTGCAGGAATAGGTGGATTAAGTGATACTGGTAGAAAATAGCCTAGCGTGACTTATGCTGTTTAGCTGCAAGATTGTCATTAAAAGTATTCAAATATTATATGCTGTATCCTTCTTTCGAATTAGCTACGATCGTCCTAGGCTTTGAAATTACTGCTTCCTGACCGTCACACTCATTAAGATGTGTATGTGAGAAACAAAGTAGCAATAGTACAAGTGACCCTAAGTATGAAGCACAACAAGGACTAGAAATGCAATGGAATTGAATAATATAATGGTGGATGTATAGAAAATAATATCAAAAATATGAGTGATTGTCAAGCGTTAATTAGAAGCGATTTGACTGGTTTGAGGTTTGATCATGAATTGATATCAGTAAGAGATCTAAAAGATAATAAAAGTGGCTACATGGGCCTGATGATTCTGTCAAAGTGGCTGAATGGTATGCGATCTCAACCAGTAATGTGAAAGATCTGCGTTCGATCACCGTTGAGTCATGTATGGTTACTCCCGACGTCACCTTAACCAAGACGAAATAGATGTTCAATGCTCCCTGGTTTCCAATGATTCCCACACTAATGTCACTCTCTGATCAAACACATAGCGATGATATAGCAGCTGATGGACATCAATCAAGGAATCTGCAAACATTTTGATTCCAGTCATTATTGTTAGTAGTTAGTTTAGGAAAAATATTTCGAGAGCGCGACCTCACTGTGCAAAAAGTGTTTATATGCGAGACTAGTCTGTAGTGATTCGAATTCTCATAGTAATTTTGTGCAGCAATATTACCATTGATAATGATATTTTCCATGCCCCACATTCTCAACCAAATAACATGTTCTTAATTAACCCCACAAGGAAACGGGCAAGTGCGATTCACAAATCGCAGACAACTAATCGTGCTCTTACAACTAGTTGAATCAACTAGTCACACTGAATTGTTTTGGCATTTCATTATCACAACTGCATGATTGTCCGAATCGATGTTAAAGTGAGAAAGTGTCTAACTAACATTTATCCATCGAGTCGAGGATATCATCACACGACAAACTGTTCAGGTTAGCAACTCGATTAAATCAAGCGGTTTACGAAATCACGTTTTCACAATTTTAGTCCTATTACATTGTACTTGAGTGATGATCAGTGTTATCTGAGAGACATTAATTGCCCAATGACCGATTTTACGCGTGACACCTTCAGCTGGAGACGTCGAAAGAATCTGATACTCATGAATCATGTGATTTCCCTTTGTAATTTTGACGGTGTGTCCATGCATGGAACACACACCACTGAAGAAAATGAAACAGGAGTGCACATCAGAATGACATGTTTCTCGAACTACACAACAGAGTCAATGATTTCGACAGAATGTCGGTGAACGAACACTACTGGAATCATTTCATTAACTGAATAATCACTGAATGATGACTTGGAAGTGTGTATTCCGTGGCCTCTTTGTGTACAATTCAGTGTAGAGTGGAGGAATGAATTAAAAGCAATGCATGAATGAGGTGGACGACGAAGAGGAGGAGTAGGATGAGGATCAGAATTACTTTCTCAACAGACATTTCGTGTCTCTGAAGTAACAGGGAAGAGATGCAGCTCAGGTGTCTACTCAGAGTAACCTGTCAAACTAATGTTTATTTCATTGAGACTTATTCCATATCTGTCAGTGATAATGATGATAAGACTGTATTTCAGACAATATGTGAACAAATAGTACAGAGATTCTCATCCTATTTAGTTCCAAAATATGACGTCTGCAAAAAAGAGTGTGATTCACGGGATGGTAGAGTAATAATCCGAAGTATATCATGTGACGTGGTGTTGTCGCATATAAAGAGATAACCAGCTCTGTATATTTATTCTTCGTTTACTTCAAAAATTGCACAGAGTTTTGCTGAAAGATGAGTAAATTTGTGAGCGAGTTCATGATTTGATACCATGATATATCTCCATGAATGAAAGAATAAGAAATGCAAAAGAATTGGATCATGTTGAAGAATAGAAATTTCGGTTACCCCACTGATTTAATCAGACAGCCGTTATCAATGAAATGCTCTAATATACACTACTCAGATGTGTTTGTGTATAATAATGCCTTTGAAATCTATCTGTTGGCATCATATAAAGAGAAACGACTATTCAAATATTTCCTCAAAAGTAATTTTGCACTTGAGGCATTGATCAATCTAATATGCCAACTACAATAGATAGCTGTCACTCAGAGAGAAATTATTTATCGCGGAAGATATAAGCGGGCGAAGTCCCACATCTAAGATTATCGAGAGGAATCAGATGGAGTTAAACTGCTGACACCCTTTCTTTGTCATTCTCCAGCCGACCAATCACGATTGCTGAAATGGAAGACAAACTGCCGAGTTGTTCCACTTCTACGTGTATCTACGAATTCAGTTGATTCTGTGGAGGCTGCTATGTAGGGCGAACAATTAGACTGTTGACCGAACGCATTAATAATCATCTTCCTTCATATTTCGGGAAAGGCCAAATAAAATCTATAAGAAATACTACTTTGACTAACTGGATTGATGGCGGTCACCAAGTAGACAGAAGAAAAGCCTTCAAGTTTATCTATCACATTCCATCGAGCATTTCGAAGAGCATTAGAACCCGCCTTTTACACATTGCCGAAGCATTGAGAATTAATTCGAGAGAACAATTCTAATCTTTGCAAACAAACGAAGTTTGTTCTACCTGTGTCTCTCCCTTGGCCTAGTTACAGTCTAATTACCTCCCCCGTCATCCATTAAATAATTCCATCTCCTAAGTATTTTACTGATATTTATTCAAACTCTGATTATCCGTCCACCTCACCTCTAGTGCTACGTAGCTTTTAGGATTTGAACTAATTCGTTTATTCATTGAATTGTCTACATATACACATATTTCTATTTTGTTATCATTATAATCATCGTTATTTCTGGTGTTCAGAAGATTTTACAAACTATCATTATTACTAGTATTATTTGGTCCGCAAACTCAGCATCATTGGTTTACATTCCTAAATATAAATCTATGTAAATTAGAGTGTAGCCTGAAGAAGATCTAATTGAAAATAATGATATTCGCTTATATGTATTGTTCGTCATAAAGGCCTCGCATTATCTAGAATATTCATCGTCATCCCTTGGTCGATGATTCCTGAAGCCACAGTTATGCTCTACAAACAATATACGAAGACTATCTGTGACATTGCAAATCAGCAGACCATTACAATTACAACCAGTTTATAAATACTCGAAGAAGCGGCTTGTCGATATTCAGTAATAAATCTAACAAAGAACTTCCACTGTTAACACTATTAGAGACAGTCTTGTTTGTATATGACTGTGAATTTTATCTATATATCTATTTTCACCGCAAAAAAATGATATCGCTCAAAGTAGTGACACTACGCTGAATGCCAACTTACAGTTCACAACATTTCATCAACTGAATTATTACTAAACATCGCTCACTGGATGAGGTTTTTTTCATGTCCCATTCTAACTCATCGTCATCCTCGAATTTCTTACTCGGTGTGAGGGATTTCTCTCAACATAAAACCCACTAGTACACTTCATAGATATCAAATCAGATATCATCTCATGAGATGTCCAAATATACCAGAAGATATTGTTCGTGCCTCTATTCACACTGCACCGCTCGTGACAACCACTATCCATAAATCCACGTCACTGTTTCACCTCAAGTGAACACACCCAGTCAACTCGGAGTATGGACACCACTACTGAAATAGAGATGCTCATCGTCTCTTCACACGATCATCTACTACACATCTAACTCACCAGCGAATTCGGAATTCATTCCACAGTCAGTCACTGTTATAAATAGCCAGTTCACATGACCACTTCATGCACACATCACAATCTCAATCACTCCACTCACTGCACATCGACGACACGCGAACCACATCATCCAGTATTCTACCACTGAGAATATACACGTCATCAGCGAGTGAGAAAGACGAGAGGGGTAGTGAGATGAGATGTATTTTCAGAATGAATGCATGAAGGAAAATAACAAATATCAAAATAAGAGGGGGTGATGTGATTATGCGATGAAGGAGATTTGAAATTCAGTCGGACAATGTCAGCTTGTCGAAGAGATATTCACCGAGTCCACTGCCAACTCTCTTGGTTTGTGTCACATAGTCGGCGAATTGTTTGATGGCTTGTTCTTGCTCGTGCAGATATTCACTCTCGATGAAGTCAGTGAGTGCTGGATCGTTGTTCCTCGAAGCGACATCATGGAGTTTCAACAGTGACTAAGGATGGGAGAAAAACAAAGATAGACAGAGAGAGAGAGAGTGAGACAGAGAATCAGACAGGGAATGAATCAGACAGTGATACATTGTGTTGCGTGTTATTATGTGTCGAATCACTGGGAATACGGGAATGACTAGCTGTCTGTAATAACTGTGATGTCCTAATTTCCTTAGTATGTGCGTGTGAGAAAAAGAAGAGGGGAGAGTATGAAATCAAGATTTGTGTTGATGTGAGTGATACGGTGATGATTAGTGATTAGTATCGGTGTGTCAAATTATCAAATCATGGATATCTATAAATCACAAAATAATTAAGCAAATAATCTCTTCCTCGAAGGTTTTCTCTTCTGGCTCCACAAGTGTACATATATATATAATATGATATACATAGAATATTCTGGAATAGTAGTCAATATCAATATTGCTGTTTTTTAAACAATATCGATTCCTAAATGAAGATCAGTGCAATTACATGTCATTAAAGATGCTTGAATTATAAGAATAATAATGATGATATAATACCAAATACTATATCAACTAAAAGTAGGAAAATTCCACAACAATTGAGGCTCATTCAAACCTAGATGGCCAAGGTATGGAGGAGGTTTGAACTAGCCTCTTCTTGGTTAACAAATTAGGCTTCTGAAAATTCTTATTGACTACTATTCTAGAAGATTTTATGTATATAAACATACATAGAATTAAACAGCCAGAAGAGGAAATTATTCAAAATCATATTCTTGCTCAATTGTTTTGTGTTTTGTAAATATCAGAATGAATATTTTCGATATAGTGAAATGATAGATATACACTGAGTTATCTGTTGACATCAGAAATCCTTAGGGAGATGCACCGATATTGAAACCCGTCGAGATGGTCAGTGGTAGCGTGAGTGCCAATCTCGCATTGCCTTCCAGAGTTTCATCGTCGGCTGATGCATTTGTAAACCTCATGTCACATTGAGGCTGATGCGGACGGGGGTGGTGGTCTGATGTTTGCAGCCTCACTCACTAATTAAACATCCCACAGAAAAAGAATGAAGGAAACTACACAAGGTGTAGTGATTTATTCTCTGAGATTTATTCAGGAATTTCATGTAGTTACTTCATGAGGGAAGATGTAATGATGAAACTTGATAACACATGGTGTTAACACCTACAGTGAATTCAGCCGCCTATCGGACTGACGTGGTGGAAACAAACCTACTACTATCTAAATAACTCACACTTACATCACACCTGGAAATTCTCTCAGTCACCACGAGCATGAAGTGAAGCATCAAGATTCAGCGATTTATTTGACATACAGTAGGTGACTATTGTCTCTAGAATGTGAGGTGTGGAGCAGAGCAGATATTAAAAAGCTATGTACACCAACCATTCAAGATATCGAGGAATTCGAGAATATCGGTAACCAGATATAAATACAGGTGTGTGTGTGTGCATGTGTGAATTTGTGCGTGTGCGTGTGACTTACCTCATTCACTGCCTTCTCCATCGCCAGAGCCGTATTCATCGCATCCACCAGACCACTGAACTCCGTCTTACACGGAGTCTTGATATCGCTGTACTGGACACGACCACCACGCTTGTTAACATACTTCGCCAATTTCTCAGCGTGCTCACGTTCTTCATGTGATGCCTTTCGGAAGAATTCAGCAGCTTTCGGGAAGGCGACATCATCTCGATCGAAGTAGGTGAAGAAAGCCATGTAGTCGTATGCAGCTTGCAGTTCCATGTTGATCTGTTTGTTCAGAGCATCTTCACATTCCTTGGCGAAATTCTGTCTAGCTCGTGATCCACTCATGATTTCGTCTGAGGCGAGTCAATTGAGTTGTAGTGTTTTGGGGATCGGCGTTGTAGTCGTCACTGGTTCACCTGGATATGAATGAAGTGAGTGGAATTCGAGTGGTCCTTTTATCTTATTCGGATCAGACGTGAGTGTGTTTGTGTTATTGTGTGTGTGTGTGTGTGGAGCTCGATCCACGTATGATAAAAACATGTGAAATGAAGAAATTGTGTTGGGCGTTTATTATGAAAACCAGTAATCAGTTGTGCCTGAGTTTTCGTGTGAGTGTTTTTATTTCTGTGTGCATGAGGGTGTGTATCAGGGTGTTTTGTGCTGTAAAATGTGTTGTGCAATCCAGTGTGAGTGTGACTGTATGTGTGTGTGGGTTGTCAGCTGATGTGATTGGTGAAACTGTAGCCTGAATTGAATGAAACACAGAATATGCTTTCTGCTTTCACGTCTTTTCATAATCGTGTTTCGCTTTTTCGATTGGCTGGCTGGCTGGCTGGCTGGCTGGATTTTCATTTCATCAGTGTACAATGTGTGATTGTTGTGGTTGTCTGAGTCTCCTACACGTCTCCTACAGTAAACAGTTGTGTACTCTGTACCATATTAGACACAGTTCACATTATAATAAAAATTTCAATTTTTATTTTCACAATGCGGGCCTCCTTTAAATGTGCCTTTTTTTTCTGTGTTTAATTATTTTATTCAAGTGTCTCTGTCACTGATGTATTTTCGTCACCGTTGCTTTGGTAATTTTATCGTTTAAACAGGGCGATATACGTGTGTTGTGGTGTGATGTGTCGTGTTACGGATCCAGTCTTTTGGTTTCCTTCTTGTTCCTCTTACTTTCAGAATTGCTTCACGGGAAGAGATTTCAACTTTTGAAATTTCGTTTTGGAAAGCAATTCCCGCATTACCGATGATTTACTTCAATTGAACACATGGCTGTCAAAGTGCTGATTCCTGCTTGTTGTTGGTTCCATTACTGGTAGGGAAGTTCTACGACACGCAATTCAACTATGAGAGTGTTTCCAGAGGCTTTATTTGATTCACCTGTACAATCATACAATCTTCAATCAATTCACTCTTCTTTGCATTTTACAGATAATTTTGCAATGGGGACGTATGATGTGTATTAGGATGAATGTGGATTCTCCGAGATTCGTACGTGATATTCGAGAAGTGATGATGAATGTTAAAATTGCTAGCTGAGAAGCAGCCCCGTGGGCAGAAATACTTAGTGAATAGAAATCAGATTGTTATTTGTAGTGTGGTGAGAGCAGGCCGTGAGAAAATATGTACAAGGCTGATTCAACAACCAATCACAGAAGACTTAACGTGGCAAAATATAATTCGCAGATAGAGAACTCTATTTTACAGAGGAATCCCGAAACAACCAGTCAGAAGACTGCGCTTGCTTGAGCTATAATAATGTACAGGAAATATATATAAATACGTGTTGATTTTCGTAATAAAACGATCTGTTGCCTGACCCTTTTCTTCTGTTGTTACAATAGGAGTGACATGTTATAAAGGATTTCTAATGAATAATTTTCGACGATATCAATTTTCATGTGAAGATGCTACATGAAAGTGCGTCGTATGGAAATGACCACCTTCCGAGTTTTGTAATTGGATGAATTTCCCAGGAAGTGCACATATGCGTTTGAAGAATACATTAGGAAGCTGTTCCATCTTCTCTGAAGAATAATGAGTGTAACTGATATACGCGTTCGGAGTTCACTGATCTATCTATCAGTCATTTGTAATAGTATTTTGCAATTCCTGAATCACAGGAAATCAACCAACAACACAAAGACGGCAGAATTCAGGAATTTGTACCTATTTGTAATTCATATAATATATATATGAACAAACAACGGTAAGCATTTAAACAATACAGTAATACAAATTGTCAATCACCACAACACAATTAGTCATTCATACTGAAATATAGATTTGGCGCCTGTGAATATGGAATCAATTTTTAGTGGCTTTTATTTCATTATCTAGTGATTGTAACGGAATAGTTGTTTTGAATATCCCTGCTGAACGATCTTATTACAATGCTTATAATAATTTGGACGGTTAAACTAACTGTGTATTAACTATTCATTTTTCTCCTAGACAATATATCACTCTCCTGACATTTGCATATCACATGTTAACTTGATCGGTATTATTAGTCTTTTTTCCCTGTTTAATCTCTAATCGCAGTGCTTCTCTTTGTGGTTGTTTGATGATCCTGATATTGTGTGGTAATATGAAATGATTTTATTTGAGTGAATCAAGGTAATCCTAACCTTGGACTGCCTAGGGGAATTATTGGCGTGTGACTCTTGCTGTCAGAGTTTTGACCCCACCTCATTGAGAATATTCTACTCGACTCAAAGGTCCTTATAACGGTTGAGTTTTAGTTCAGTAACTTTATTCTACAGTACCTGTTATGTGCTTAGAACGTTATCCTGTTCTTCTACCTGTCTAGTAGTACTGCTGAGGTAATTTTGAGCTTCTGATGTTATCACTGTTGAATAGAACCGGAGATCTATTGAACAGTAGTTGTCTTTTTGCTGTTTTCGGAGCGTTTTTATGATTGTGCGTGTGTCTAGGAGGTTTTGTTAGCTATACAACAGGACCCAAAGATCAGTTTCCTGCGTTCAGACCACAACCAGCCAATTTCGGTTGTTTCCGATAAAGAAAGGAAGACAAAATTTGAATTATACAATGATATAATTCTATTTCACAGGTTCTCATCAGCTGCAGACTACCTGAAATTACAGTGGTTATATAGATGCCAATAACATACTTTAATGTTTAAGTGGTAATGGAGAAGAGATACTATAAAACTGACGCATCGTAAATGTAGGCATAACAATTTTACATTTTTTACATTACATTTTACAATTCTATAAGCCAATCAAAACTAGATAAATACCCTACTGATGTCAACTTCAACTGAATTTATGAATTTACGTGCACTTGTGGAAGCAAGTACATTGGAAGGACGAAAAGAAGGGCTTCTCTCCGGTTTTCTGAGCATATTCCAAGAAACTTGTGTCTGAAAGGAAGCAAATATTCTCAGAGTGCAGTTACCAGACATAATGTTGATATTGGTCATCTCGTATAGATTTCTAAATACTAAATAGACAAAGGACAGAAAATTTATTACGATTTGCCTAACCGATCGCAATGAAACGATTCAAACCAGACTTATGCATACAGTAAGAGAGTGTGATTAGCCTCTCACTCCCCTGGTAACTGAATTTTGAATTTGATTACACTAATTAGTCATCTAATTCAGTGATCCCAACTCATTGAGCAAATCTCAGTCTTATAAAGTGCAACGGCTTTTGTTTTATGAGTTGCTATGTGAACGTACAAGCTAACACTGTTTTTTTTATTTTTTTCTGTTTTCTGTCTTACCCCTCTCCCCTATTTTCTACTTTGAAAACGTATAAATTGATGATGAGAACTTAAACCAAAAATTGTAATATTTACATTTTCGATGCTTCACTTCTATAGTATTTCTTCTCTACTAACGCTTAAACATTAAAGTATGTTATTATCATCTATATAACCATTGTGATTTCAGGTAGTCTGCAGCTGATAAGAACCTGTGAAATAGAATGATATCATTGTATACTTCGAATTTCGTCTTCCTTTCTTTATCGAAATTTACCAATGGAACCAAATGTATGAAATTTTGGTTGTTACAATAATCATATATAAACCATCAAATAGCGCATAATTAACTTAATATATGCAGCATTCAATAAGTTTTTAAGGACTGCCAGCCTAAAAACAAGCTGATTGGTAATGTCTACGTTTGGAATTACTACTGAATGGGAAATAAACTTTGATTCCTACCAGAACAACGTGTATCTTAGTATCATTTTTCTACCATGAGAACATTCATTGGAATATGAAGACTTAATGCTTGTCTGGTGCATTCGGATCAAATAAAATCAGTTTACACTCTTCAAATTCACACAGCTTTTGTTTCTGATGACTATAAGAGATACTGTGACCTTGCATAGTTTGGATGACACTATTTCAGACCCTCTTTGGTGGTGGATCAGAGGCCAGATTACATCTTGAACGTGACCGTTAAAGTCACTTTGTAGCTTAAATTCTTTTCTGGTTTCACCCGTGACGACTGCCAAATTTGAGAAAGTTAACGAGTTTAAGTGTAGACAAGTTTGATTTTAATAGCATCGAATTCTGTCACATACACGCGAATGTGATTTACCATCTGAAGTTTAAACTTCAAATCAGACATTTAGTTAGATATCTATTCTGATACGTCGTTCTTATTATCGCTCACAACATTACGTAACAGAATAATTCATTTTGGTCAAGCGGAAAGTGCTACTATATCACTTATTTACTGTACTATACACAAACGGTAAATACATGAAACTGTATCACCATACTTTTCAAATAAATCATTCTATATGGCAATATACTCTGTCATATTTGTGGAGTATGTAACAATATGATTGTACACTTTATATTAGACGTTGAAATTAGAGACATAGTACATGATTTTTGTTTGAAACGATTCATGTTCGAATAAATATAACTTCCGAGTACAATTCGAAATGTGCTATACTTTTAGTAGCTTCGCCTTCTCACTGGCCATTACTGTCTACTTGCTGCACTCATACCGTATTGTATACTTTGGATTTATTTCAATAATAATTTATCCTTATCCGAAGACAACTCTACAACCGGTACACAGCTTCTACCAGTAGACACGACTCCAACAGTGAACGCTTCTGTGGATTATATTAATAACTTGTAGCAGTGGACTTTAACAGTATATGGGGGGAGTCCTCTTTTCAAAAATTTAAAACAATTAGTCCCTTTTATAAATTTTGATAGCGTTATTAGAAGACGGAGATTATCTGAAAAATGTGATGTATTGGCTCACTCTCCTACACATAATTTAGCAAAGTGGTTATATGATGTTTTAAGTCCAGTACTCAAAGAATTACGTAAGTTTACTTTGAAAGATACATTTGAACTTGTTAATTGTCTTGCAGATAT